GATAAAAACAACGTTTCTTTGTGCGTTCGTCTTGCGCAGCGCGCTGGATCCTAGCGAGTTTTTATGGCTTTATTTGACAAGCAGCCGACCATGAAAGCTGTAACTTTCTGTGACATGCGAAAGAGTACCAGTGTCGCGATAACCTTCTTGACCCTCAAAGAGCGGAGCGGTTAAACATGCGAGATATTTGTTACATTGTTACGAAAGAATTAGACGTGGCGGGTTGGTCGCTAGTATGAATCTATACATGCCTGGATGTATGAGGCTACAATGTCACAGTGAAAATTCTTCGCAAAGCCTAAATTGGTTTTGCAAGAAGGTTTTTATTTTTGCTTCTAAGTCGTATAATTGTCTAATGGGGGATTCTGTTTACTGTCTAGTGTGTTACATGTAACTTATGCCACTTGCACCTGGCCCACTGCAGTGCATTGTGTAGGGATAGTATCTGTTGATAGTTTTTGCCTTCATTAATTAGTCACCCCCCCCCCCCCCCCCCCCCCCCCCCCCCCCCCCCCCCCCCCCACCCCCCCCCCCCCCCCCCCCCCCTCCCGCCCTCTCGTCACTACTCGCTCCACGATCGCGAGCTTCCCACTCCCTCTTCACCACTCTTAAGACGACACTTACAACGCTCAGCCACCATCTCGGCCTCCCGCGGCAAACTTTCATAACGACCTCCAAACGACACATTCCTCCTCTAGACGGTCTGACTACCATCCCTCGCTCGCTCACTGCTCGCTCGCGGCCGTATGTTCAAACACATTTCCGGGGACTAACAGGGTTTACTAGAATTCCCTCCACTTCCACCACAGAGTCACCACCAGCTAGACCGTTAGATGACGCGCTGGTTCGCTCCCGCGGCACTTGTTTTATATGACCGTATGCTGTTTAGGCGTTAGCGTTGACGTGTGTAGTGTTGAGGGTTAGGGTACACTTCTGTAAGTACAAGTCTGGTACACTTTGTGTATACATATATAGTGTACTCTCGGGTAACAGTATCTGTAGTACATGATACGACTAACGACCCTTGAGCCAACTAATCCGGCGCGTGCTTGGGCCGAATTCATCCAACATTTTACAACCAATGTGATAATGATATCTAGGCATGCCATAGGCATTAGGGTGTTTTAAATGACAAATCGATATAATGAACAATCGTTATATAGCTTGTATACATGTGTATTGAATAAACTAATATGAGTTTAGTATTTCAGGGTTTCTCCCCAGGGATTGAAATTCTAAGACAGCGGCGGGCGAGGGAAAGGGGGCAGGGAGAGGGGGGGGGGAACTGGGGAGGCGGGTTTTTTTACCGAACCACTAATTAATGCGTAAAATCGCCACCACACCATAGACGGTATTTGGGGTTCTTGTATATATAAGATAGCCGAGTCGGTGTACAGTTAGTGTTGGGTGTGGGACAGGTTGACTGTTTGTACTTGTGTATTGTCTGCAGTGCATGCGTGGCACGGTAAAAATACACGCGCCGGTTGTTCTGGTCGAATGGGAATTCTTGATGATCGATTCCCGCGCTGGCAAACTTTTATTGTGGTGGAATTTAATCGGGGCGGAGGTAATTTAAACGGGGCGCAACGATTGAAACAGGGGGGAGTTTTCCCAAACGGGGCGCGCGCGCCCCGTTTGCGCAACGTAGGGAGAACCCTGGTATTACTAGTAATTCTAATACTAGTAGTAGCATGGCTTACCAACTTTACTTCCATTCAAATAATAATACAACCAATTGTTAAGCCTTAAGGGGCTATGCGCGGTTCAAATACTCCACTACAAGTTAGAACACAATTTCGCCGCACACCCGCCACTGTGCACATATGCACATTCAATGTGAGTGTCCTCACTCACAGATTGAGTACTCACTTTCACCTGGGATACAGCAGCTCGGAATGCGTGAGGGCCAAAATCGCAGACCACCACTCGCTTCGTTTCAAATGATCAAAGAAACAATGTAGTTGAGTTGTGAAGCTCCTCTTTGAACTCGAAAGCAGAGCATAATTAACTCAAAGTGCAGTGTGTGGCCTTTACTCATGCACTAGCCACTACTTTCTACTATTTACAATAACACTGCCTTAGGGGTATATTGCAAGATTGTTCTAAGTGGATGAAATTTTACTCAGTCAAAAGCTATTATTTCTAACAAGGGAATACTGAGCTACAACAAATACAACTATTACAAGGATGGAGTCGCTTGGTTGTGTTACCATTCGCTCACATTTCTTGTGTCTCTCTTCATAGTGGGATGCGTACGGTGACTTTGTGTGTTGTAGAGGAGTATATGCGCACGTCCAAGTAGAATTATCAAGTGATATAGTGTACATAGCGTTAAAACTTTGGTAGTAAATTAGCACAACTAGGCTGCAAGACCTATAGACAGATACCTCATGTTTACCTTTACCAGAGATGCCAACCACTACGATTTATCCGTATTTTATGTGAATTTCGTTTGCATTTTTATCACTAGTCACTACGACCAGTTTGCATACAAGTACGATTTTTACTAAGATCGAAAAAATATTTTTTATGATATTTCAAGTGTCTTTTTTTTCAGTGTTACATTGATATAACATGATTGTAAATAACTACATGTATTTAGCAGCAAATATCAGTGTGAAGTTATTGTCATTTTGGGTCCCAGAATGCAGGAACTTGTATCTCGGAATCAAAAATATTCCAGGGTGCATGCCCCGAACCCCCCTAGCATACTCGTGTCACTGCGTAACCCTCGGACTACAGATTTCAGACATCCTCACTACAGTTTGCTCACAAAAGTGTTGGCATCTCTGCCTTTACGTTCATTACGGTCTTTCAGTTCTGTTTCTTTGTGCTAGTAGTAATTATTATTTTGGATTTATTTACTATCATTTTAGTATTGGAGTGGCTTCAGTGCCTACTATTAAAACTTGGCATACTCATAGTAATTGGCAGCTCATGTACTTAAGAACTTTACACATACAATGTCGTCATCATTAATCCTAACCCTAATACATCAGGTAATATTAGGCCATAATAAAAATATTGTTTGTTTGCCCTCACCCAACCGACCCACGAAAAAGGGACCGACCCAAAAAATTTTATTGATCTATTTTTTTTTTAACAAATTGTATCACTCTGTACATTATATAAATCTGTAGGCAATACATTATATGTACCAAGCAAAAGAAACATTCAACATAAAAGGTATCTCTACACAAGCACACCCGAGCATGTAGCCACCACGCTGAATTTGTAAAAAGACCCCCCCCTCCCTCAAAAAAGAAGAAGAAAAGCCGACCTACCTACCCAAACTTTTCAGCCTGGGTCGGGTGAGGGCAAACAAAGATTTTTTTTAATTGTGGCCTTAGTAACCTATGGCTGTGATACTAATCCTAGCCTAGTCATGTAAGATGTAGGGGTCTTCAAGACAAAGTAGGATGGATCTATAGTTGTGTATGAATTTCATTGATATAAAATCTGATAATTGAAATTTTTGGATGTTGAATTATCATGTTGTATTAATGTGATGGGTCAATAGTGACCTGGTCTCTTTAACCAAACCTTTTGTTTGATGTGACAAAAAAGATGGTTGGCTCACATTGAGCAGTTGATGTAGTGTGGATAAGGATGACAATATTCAATCATTGTGTCGTGTGTAGGTGATAGAGCTGGATCTGGACCAGCTGCCAGAAGGAGAAGAAGTCATGGCAATCCTGCGCCAGGAACACGCACCTCTCCATATTTGGGTCACATTGGCAGTAAGTCTTTAGTAATAGTAGCTCATGTAAGTTATCTTTATACCATTAACATCACATTGTGATCTGTTCTTTTTGTCATTACTGATTGCTGATATCATTCCTTCCTAGCTTCAGTACTACAAGCAGGGTGATGTCGATGATTTTGTTAAGATCCTGGAAGGTTCACACACAGATGCCAACTTGCAATACAAAGAATACGAAAAAGATCAGATGAGGGCACTAGATACATTGGCTGCATACTATGTACAGGTAAACTGTTTGCCAATATATGTATGTCAGATTTAGTTTTATGAGTATAACTGCTAAACTAAGATAATATTCAATGGCCCGAATTTAATGAGAATCTAACATCAAATAATCCTTATTTTACTGCCAAACTCCTTGAAAATTCTTCCACATAGTGGTTGATTCTAGACTCCTTGTGTAGGCAATGAGTTATTTAACCTTAATTAAAAGTCAATTTCTGTGATTCTTCATTTTCTATCAAAAGTCCATTAAAAGAACAGGCTAGAAAATTACTAAACCTGCTGTAAATGTGTAGTTCTGATTAAAACTTATCAAATGAATTTCCTGTGAAAATAAAATTCCCCATTCCCATCCCTCTGTATTTTGCATTTTTCAGCGAGCACATAAAGAGAAGAATAAGGACAGGAAAAGGGAGCTATTTACACAAGCAACTTTACTCTACACAACTGCTGACAAGATCATCATGTACGACCAGGTATGAATATGAGGTGAACATAAATGTAAGATAAAATTGCAAAAATCAATGTGTTTCATTTAAATAATCTAATAATGATAAAGGTTATAAATAAATATACAGACAGGTTATTAATGCTATAATCTGATTTCACAGAACCATTTGTTAGGCCGAGCATACTTCTGTCTCCTAGAGGGAGATAAGATGGATCAAGCTGATGCTCAGTTCAACTTTGTATTGAATCAGTCGCCAAGCAACATTCCAGCTCTGCTTGGTAAAGCGTGTATTGCTTTTAACAAAAAGGTTAGTATTAGAAGTCACTGGCTTTCACGGTATATGTTCATTGCATAGATTTGATCTAAAAAAAAAGGAGTTCCTCTAACAGTAACTTTTTTGTTTTTGCTGTAATATATAATATTTCTTCATAATGCTGTGTAGTCATTGAGTTGTGTAGTGAGATTATAACTACACCTGTAGGACTATAGAGGAGCACTAGCATTTTACAAGAAAGCGCTTCGAACCAACCCCAATTGTCCAGCGGCTGTGAGGTTAGGAATGGGCCATTGTTTTATAAAACTTGGAAGCAAGATAGAGAAAGCTAGGTGAGTTTTTTTACTTTTATACTGCTACAAAAACTGTGTTTTTTTTGTTTTTTATACAAATTATTAATTGAAGGCAGGTTGTGAACAATAAACGAATTAATTTATGAGTGTGATATATGTACCTTTGTGTGTTTGTCGGCAGGTTGGCATTTGAAAGGGCTTTACAGCTTGACCCACAGTGCGTGGGGGCGCTAGTGGGCTTAGCTGTTCTACAGCTGAACACCAAGTCACCGGATGGCATTAGAAATGGAGTGCAAATGCTCTCTCGAGCATACACCATTGACTCGACCAATCCCATGGTGCTCAATCATCTCGCAAACCACTTCTTCTTTAAAAAGGTTAGAATGAATGACAATTATAACCAGTCCATGCTGCGTGGAAAACTCTACCTTCCTTATGCGATCGCTGATTTTGGAAAGTGAGTTTGACCTCTGCACCTTGCTGCAGCTAGCTAGCGTGCAACTAACACCCTCTTAGCTCAAAACTGTAATGAGAGCTACTCAATGTCTTGTCTAACCTGGTCAGCACAACAGCCCAATGGCATGGTGCTGGTCGCAAGAATGGCGGAAAATCAGTTGCCTGCCTGTAGAAGACTGTGTAATGCTTTAGCTGAAATTGACAAACCTTGCACCATCACAGTAAAACTCATTCTTAGTTGCTAGATTCATCATTGTTTTTATTGCAGGACTATAGCAAGGTGCAGCATCTGGCACTGCATGCTTTCCACAATACTGAGAATGAAGCCATGCGAGCTGAGAGCTGCTACCAACTGGCCAGGGCCTTCCATGTGCAGGTAAGGCCATAATAAAAAAAATCTTTGTTTGTCCTCACCCGACTCAGGCTAAAAAGTTTGGGTAGGTAGGTAGGTTTCTTTTTTTTTGAGGGGGGTCTCTTAAACTCTTTGTACAAATTCAGCGTGGTGTCTACATGCTCGGGTGTGCTTGTGTGGAGATACCGTTTATGTTGAATGTTTGTTTTGCTTGGTACATATAATGTATTGCCTACAGATTTATATACAACATGTACAATTTGCAAAAAAAAAAATGGGAAAGATCAATGAAATTTTTTGAGTCGGCCCCTTTTTGGTGGGTCGGTCGGGTGAGGGCAAACAAACAATATTTTTATTATGGCCTACCAGCGGAATTTTTTCATTTAAATTAATCGCATATTAATCACAGAATTAATCAACAATTGATTAAAAAAGTGTTACGATTAAAAATGAGTCGGCGACGACTGGTCATGTCCAACTGTTTGGTGAGAACACCCGGTGACCGATCAATGGTGTTGTATGAGTAGGTTTAGTTTTAGGAACACGCGAGCAATCGCTTGCTTCAAAAGGCAAGACATTGCTGACTAAGGTTTTTATGAATCACATTTAAAATTATAACAACACATGGGCATTTCTGATTCATATTGGCCTTGAATTGACTCGCAAATTACAATGCAAATACCTGGCATTTTGCCGTGATGTAAGTGCTCTGTAGCTGAATAGAAACAATTGTGAATTTTTGCTTGCAGAGTGACTACGACCAAGCCTTTCAATACTACTACCAGGCAACCCAGTTTGCTGCTGTCTCCTTTGTTCTGCCTTTCTTTGGACTTGGTCAGATGTACATATATCGAGGAGACTCAGAAAACGTATGTGCTGATGTGGTCACAATTTATGTACAGTGGAAATGTATTGATAAATTATATAGTCATATTTTATGTATGGTAAAGATATGTTAATAAATTGTATAAAGTAGAGTTACAATTAATAATAATTCCTCGCCTTATGAAGTAATGCATTCAAGAAAACGTAATGCGAACGACTGTGTTGTGAATCACGTTTTCCCATTGACTTTCATTATGTTAGTAAAATGAGTAAAAACGTTTGTGGTTTCTTTTACTCATATGTAGGTTGCCAATGTATATAAGTTTAATATTTGTTGTTCTTTTAATATAGGCAGCACAATGCTTTGAGAAAGTATTAAAGGCTCAGCCTGGAAACTACGAAACTATGAAAATTTTAGGTTCTCTGTATGCAAATTCGCCGAGCGAAGCAAAGCAGGAAATCGCAAAGGTGTGTACAAAAACAATTGATAGTGGATCATGTATTTTAAATTCCCTGTTTCTTGGTCAGATTTCCTCCCCTTTACAATGAGTACAACTGGTCTGTTCTCACTCTGTTGTAGAACCACCTTAAGAAAGTAGCTGATCAATACCCGGATGATGTCGAAGCTTGGATTGAACTTGCACAGATTCTCCAAAAGACAGACGTCCATGTATGTATAAATACGCATGTCTAACATGGGTTATAAGTGAAATTTGGTACATGTTTTGCCATTATTGGTTTGAGTTCTCTGTTAATTACAGGTATGCCCTGCAATACGTACCAGGAAAATCATGCCTAACACGAATCATGCTTTCCCATTCATTGTTATTTTGTAATTGGAAATGCATTCCTATGGAAAATTGTTTAGCCAAAAGAAGTAGATAATCCTCCAATTTCTCTAGTACAAGCACGATTATTAACTATATATTGAGTATTTCATATACAAATTTGTCCACATATATTTCTTTACAAATTCCACAAGGGCAGAATTTTGTGACCTGAGTTTCTGTAACACAGGGTTTCATTGCATCCAGGTTTCATCAGCTGTGTATTTCCATTGATCGGCGTTTTTAAAATTTTCTCCCTTCCAGGGGTCACTACAAGCCTATGGAACAGCAGTGAGAATATTGAAGGATAAAGTGCAGGCAGATGTTCCGCCGGAGATTCTAAACAACGTTGCAGCTCTTCACTTCAGGCTTGGGAGTCTTCAAGAAGCTAGGGTAAGTACCATAACATTGTGTCATTTTCTAATCATTAATAAAGCCACATTTTGCTTGCTTCTTCCAGCAGAGCATAGACAGAGCAAGATCGAAACATTTATTGTGGTTGTTTTTAGAAATACTACGAGGCTGCGGTAGAGCGAGCACACAGTGAGTCGGAACACGATGAAGCCTACTACAGCGCCATCTCTGTGACGATGACCTACAACCTAGCGCGTCTGCACGAGGCAACGTTCCACTACGACGTGGCCGAGAGAATGTACAAGAACATTCTGCGTGAACATCCAAACTATGTGGACTGTGAGTAGTGTCATATAGGATAGAACATAGGGTTAACACACATTTGAACTATGTGGATTGTGAGTAGCATCATATAGGGTAGAACATAGAGCAAACACTCGGACACGTTGTCACGTCAGTTAGCACTTATACTGTGGTGATTTATACAGCTCAGATAGACTTTTAAGTAGATTTGCATATGACAGGTGTTCAATAAGTTATCACTGTTTAAATCGTGGTTCTACGAAGTTCAAACGAAAGATGGGTGTTGATTAGAATACACCATTAATGCCATGTACTATTCACACTTGTATTATCGTTACTGAATCCAGTTTGCATCCATTTAGGCTACTTGCGGCTAGGCTGCATGGCACGTGATCGAGGTCAGATCTATGAGGCATCTGATTGGTTCAAAGATGCCCTCCAGATTAACCAGGTAATGTAGATAATGTCTCTATACCAATTTGTCCATTTAGTGAGGATAACTTTTATACAATAACTACAGAACAGTGCTCACTGACGGCTTTTGCATAAGCTATTGCTAAATAATAAACCAGTGAATGTCTCAATTCGTTACAGGACCATCCAGATGCCTGGTCACTGATTGGGAGTTTACATCTTGCCAAGAACGAGTGGGGTCCAGGTCAAAAGAAGTTTGAGCGTATCATTAACAATCCAGACACGCAGAATGATGCTTACTCCCTCATCGCTCTTGGCAACGTGTGGCTGCAGACTCTGCACCAACCTCACAGGGATAAAGATAAGGTGCAAGCCGATTAATAAGTATACCATCATTAGCTGTAGCTATTCTGATAACTTCTTTATCGATGTATCATGCTACCTGTATCTGGTAAATTCAGCACAAAAAGTAGATCCATCAGCAAAAACCATACATTTAAATTCCCTCTTTGGTAACTAATGGTTATCAAAGATTTGATCGTGATTCATTACACGTATAAAATAATGAACCTTTTACTTAATAATGTTTTGACTGAAGCATAAAAGCACAACAAACCCTATAAGTTGTATTTGTGTAGTAGTGCCTAATGTATGATTATTATGAGTCACATCGTTAATATGAATATGTCTGCCTGTATAGGAGAAGCGTCACCAGGATCGCGCCCTGGCATTGTACAAGCAAGTCCTCCGTAATGACCCACGCAATATCTGGGCAGGTACAAACAGCTCTCCTACCTTCCTCGTGTAACCTAGGAATCGTAATTGTACGATTCAATGTCCGATGCATATTGTGATTTGCATTGTTTTAGTTAAAATTTTGCTGGGTGAACGCTGTTTGATTTCATTACTGCATGTGGGACAAATCGAAACTGTAGAACGATTAGCGTTGCATACATGATGCAGACTGCATGTATAGCCAATGAATAATATGTAGAATATCTTTTTTTTTAATTCTCGTTTGTTAGGTTGTCGTGTTAGGTAATATATATATATATAATTTATGTAGGGTGTAAGTCATGCTTCTAATGAACAAATGTTTGTAGCTAATGGCATAGGCTAATGAACAAATGTTTGTAGCTAATGGTATAGGCTAATGAACACATGTTTGTAGCTAATGGCATAGGCTAATGAACAAATGTTTGTAGCTAATGTTATAAGCTAATGAACACATGTTTGTAGCTAATGGCATAGGAGCCGTGCTGGCCCAGAAGGGCTGCATCAACGAAGCTCGAGACGTGTTCGCGCAGGTCAGGGAGGCGACAGCTGACTTCTGCGATGTCTGGCTCAACATCGCACATATCTACGTTGAACAGAAGCAGTACGTCAGTGCTGTGCAGATGGTAGGTGCCAGCAATAGACTTTCTCATCCTTTACACACTCTAGTATCAATAGAGTATGGAATAAGAGTATAGACTATTACAGTTTTAAAGTAGATGGACGTTTATGGTCAGAATGTATGAGGTTTCTCATCTTTTAATTTTTCGGTTTTGCGTTCACTAACCCATGAAGTAGATCTAATGTTTGCTCCTCATCAATGTGTCTGTGTGAAATGTCATGTCTAATATGTTTTTCGATTGTAGAAGATGTCATGAAGTATAGAATTCACTGTTGAGAGGTTCGATGTCCTGCAAATATTAAAGTTACTGTTTGCACATTACAAGCATTGTGTTGAATTATGTGGCTATCAATTCACTTGTTGTTAATTACGTTGAGTAGTTAGTCCATGAATTCTGTAAAAGAAATTATTGTTGAAGTTTGAAGCTATGTTTATATTTCTGGTTGTCAGTATGAGAATTGTCTGAAGAAGTTCTTCAAGCATCACAACACAGATGTGCTTCAGTACCTAGCCAGAGCCTACTACAGGTGTGGCAAGATGTCTGAGTGCAAGCAGTCATTGCTCAAGGTACAGCTATTACATAGTCAAAAATACAGATTTGTAGCCATCAATTGCTTGGTTGTTAAATGACAGGATAAAATAATTAAGGGGAATAAATGGTTGTCAAAAAAAGATGTTTAGTCATTAATTGTTTTGTTGTGAAGTGACAGGTTAAATTAATTAGGGGCAAAGTGAAGTAGAGGCTAGGTGTAAGTAAGGAGCGGCAGTAACCATGGCGATTGATGTAGCTCAGCTTCCCTGCCGGCGGTAAGATGATGTGGTTTCGTTGTAGGCTCGTCATGTCTCACCCAGCGACTCGGTGCTACTCTACAATCTGTCTCTCGTCATGCAGAAGTTGGCCATGCACACTTTGAAGGATGAGAAGAGCAGTCTGAAGACTGTGTTAGGGGCAGTGCGTGAGCTGGAGCTTGCTCGTGGGCACGTATTTACTCATCTTTTCTCGTCACCCAAGAACTTTAAAGTTCATTTTTTTGCTAAATAGCAGAAACATTTATGAATTACGTGAAAATAAAAAAAATATATATATATTGCAAAAAATGATTCATGACAAGTTATGACATTAACTTCATTGCTGAAGAACAAGATAAGTGTGCACTGATACTCCAGTAGATTCATTTCTTAATGTTGCTGTAATCGTGATATATTCTGTATAATGCCAGTATTTTTTCCTGTCTGCTAAAGTGTTTATTTGTTTTCCATTAGATATTTCCAGTATCTGAGTCATCACGGTGACCGTATGAAGTTTGACCTGGCCTGGGCGGCGAGGGAAGCCCGGCAGTGTTCCGACCTGCTCAGCCAGGCTCAGTACCACGTTGCCAGAGCTCGCAGGTTGGACGGGGAAGAAAGGGAACAGCGTCGCAAACAGGAGGAAGAAAGACAGGCGCTGCGCCACAAACAGATGGAGCTTAAGGTATGGGCATGTGCAATGCCGAGAAGAAAGAGTCAAGAAGCAAAGAAGAAGGAGAAATGCAATTGAAATTGTTATTGTAATGTGCTGGAAAATGCACTGGCGTGTTATTCTCAGTAATTTGAGCGAGTTGCTTGTTGGCGTTGTATGAATATTTCTCAATCTTGTTTTTCGTATTTCAGAGACAAGTTGTTGAGCAGCAGCAGAGGCAGCAGGAGGAGACGTTGCAGAAGAGAGCTGATTACATTGAAAAAACTAAGAAGCTGCTTGAGACTGTAGAGATTCCCACAGAAGAAAAAAGAGGACGCAAGAGCAAGGTACCATTTTGCAGTATAAAAGATATACTAGTCTTAGAGAACATTTTATAGTACAGAAGAAATTCGGTTTTTGAATCGGCCTTTGATGACAATGATAGAAAATTCATTTAAGAAGCTCCTGTTATTTATAATTATGATAGAAATAAAATGGAAATTTTATAGCATTTTCATACTTTTTGTAATTTTCCCTGGTGCTCAAGTACCATTGGACGTTGAGTGGTGGGTCAAGCATGATGTGTGATTGTTGATTCAATCCTCGACTTATTCTGCAGAAACGTCGAGATGCTGATGGGTTCGTGACTGACAGCAGTGAGGGACTGGATGACGATGGACCGAAGAAAAAGCGGAGACGAGAGGAGGGTGACGAAAGAAGGAAAAGGAAAACAAAGAAGCGACCTCGCAGGGGGGAGGCCGGAGGTGGAGATAGTGACGATGAAGGAGATTCAGAAGGGAAAGGAAAGAGACGCAGGGCTCGTGGCCGTGGAGGCAAGGTACGATCCTTGTCGTAAATACAATCACGAAGTTTATCCAATTCTCCTACCGTTCCCGGTAAAGTCTATGTGGTTTACACCGAATTCGTTATATTTTCTCGCTATTCTTCATGCTTAGATGTGCTTCATGGGTATGAATGCTTTTATGAATGCTTTTATATGATTGCTTTTATTAGCTCATCTAACATAGTCAGATACAGCTTGTAGAATCGCATGATCGTCCGTGCGTGCGTCCGTCCGTCA